CCTTGTTTTTCTCTTCAACTCCCTACATTCCCCATTCCATCCATTATTCCTCCCTTGCCATATGTATATCTTTCTTTTTTTCGTAGCTTCTACAATTAAGTTGATCAGTTCTGTATCTTTGAATTCCCTCTTCATCCCATATTCTTTTTTTTATTTCTTTTCTTTAGTTTCTTCTCTCTTGTTTTTCGTACTCTTGCTCTTTTCCTTTGATTTTTATTTCTAGTGGCATGTGGTCTGATTCTACCCTTTCCCCCACTTTGAAACTCTCTATTTCTTCCCACGCCTCTTCGTTGACAATCCCATAGTCTATAATAATTGATTCTATGTACGTCCATTCTCCTTCTTCATCTCCTTCCTTGTTCCCATTCAAAATTTTCCATCCCATTTCTTCTATTATCTTCCACAATATTTTCCCTTCTTTGTTATTTGCTTTGTCTTTTGATCCTATTTTCTCTCCCTTTTCTTTATCTATTATTCTTGTAACCTTATCGCCCAGTCTTGCGTTAAAATCCCCTCCTAAAAGTATTTTTCCATCTTCTTTTTATTTGTTTCCTTTTCTATGTTTATCTTGGTGTCCTCCATTTTCTTGCTATAAACGATTATTATTTCCCATCGATTATTATCCAGCTGTATTACTCATTAGTCCGTTTTTAATACTACTTCCCAATTCTTGCATTTCTTTTCGAATTCCCATTACTATTCCCCCGCTTGCTCTCCCCTTTTACTTTAACTTTGTCGCCCCTTAACACTCCCACACATATGCTTGTCAACCCTTGGACATTCCAAACAAAACCTTCACCCCTTTTTCTCCTAATTTTGTACCAGCTTCCCTTTTTCTGATTTCCCTATCTGCATCCTTTATTCCTTTTCCTTTTTCTTTGCCTTGTTTCCTTTCATTTTTCCTCCTTTTCTTCAAAATGTTTTCATAATACCCACTCGTTATTTGTTATTAACAAAGATCTCAAAATAAGATCCACGTTGGTGGTTGTCCATTGGAGGAAGCCATGTTTAAAAATTTTACTTAGGTACATATTAATTCAGTTGCTACAATTTTGGTATAACGGAGGTCAAATGTTTATTTTAACCTTTGCATTTACACTTTTTAAAAGTGACAACATCGTCCTTGCACTTATTTCACAATTGAATTTTGACGGTGAAAACATTTTCTTCTTTAAGAATACGAGTACCTACATTATTCAACGAGCACATAATGTACGCTATTGTTATAGAGGATGAAGTTTGCATACGAACCGAAGGCGAATACGACATTATATCGACGAATCTTACACTTTCTTGAATATGTAGAAGATAATGAAAGGAAATAATTTTCAGAAAGGGAGTATTAGACCTGGAATACAGGGATCCTTTGAAGACGATTTCCAAATTTTTATACATCGGTAACAAGGCTGGTTTTCTACTTGTATATAATGCGCACATTCCTCTTTTTCCAAAATCAAAAACTGTAAGTTGTGCGTAATTTAGTGCTTTTACGCAAAAAACGCATAAATTAAACGCTTAAGGGGACTCGCTAGACGAGGTATAACATTTTTTTGGTTTTTTGTATGAAAAAATGATATTAATATAGATGTATCATACATCAAACTGCAGCTTTTTTCATATTCTAGAGCGCAGAGAGCAGTTCAATCAACTAAAAAATATGGCTAAGAAATATCGTAAAAAAAGCACCATTGTATGTTTTCTTTTCAAGTTTTTTGAGTCATAACCATCATAGTATCGCTTGAAAATTCGCACATGGATAAAACATCACTTTTTACAGGGCGCAGAGTCATTAAATGTTTGTTAGCGGTACAATTTGTTTAAATAATAATGTGTTTATTAAAATCAAAATATACCACAAATTAATGCAAAATACGTCGAATAATTTTAACAGGAATATCAGAGGAAAATTAATGATCTATTGGTTAGCAGAGTTTTTAACAAAAACTAACAATTATTGAAAAAAATGGGCATCAATTCGACAGAATTTGAGCGTTAGTTCAGTACTTTGCCGATAGGAGCGCCACTAAAATTTACGGAAGCGACTTTCCAGGTAAAACCGTTATCGCCTGCTTTACCATAAGCTGATTGTTAGAGTTCTCGGCTGATTTTTCTAATTTATGGCAAGGAACTGAGTTTTATAACAAGCCGCCAGGACCGGCCGTAGTAATCTGTTGTTAAGGAAATTAACTTTTAGGCAATGAGGTACTATCATAAAACCGAACTAAAACTGGGGAACTATAATATTTTTACTCCACTCAGGATCCTGAATTCAATACACATGATTACTAAAAATTCATTGTAATATTATTGTTAATATATATTTTGCTTTGTTAATTAATAAAACTAATAAACATATTTATAATAATAATAAAAAATATATAAAATAATCAATGCATATCATTACTTGGTCTTAGTACCCGTAATGATAGAAGTCTTGCCTGAATGCCGGTCATTTCCGGGTCAGTGGTGGGTCTTAAAAATAAAAAATATATAAAATACAGCTTTTGTTTAACACGTATAAGTAGCTAAGTGTATCTACTACTTATCCCAGAAAGAAGGTGTTTTAAAAAAGCCCTACGCCCAGTAACTTCTTCCTTCATTGTTTACTCGAAAAAAGTGCTCGTATATGTTTTCATTTGCCGAGAGATCATTTTCAAAATATATTTATAATAAAAATATGCAAGTCTTGGTGATGAAAAATGTACTCCTAATAAATTATTAAAATACATAAATAATTGAAACAAATTTTATTTATTTTTAAAAAATCTCTCGCAAAGGCAGGTTCCTCTTTCTTCTTGAATCAATTATTTCGGGCAATAATGCGCCAAAGCAAAATCTACCAAGTTTATCTGCCATCTTTTTACTTATATTTCTTCGTCTTTATAAATTTTTTCTATATTTATTCCTTTGGGTGTCCATACAACAAAATAAACTTGTGAAATACCCGTAACAAGCATTTGTCCCTGGACTTGAAAGTAGTAATCATGATTTTTTTTTAGTTTCAATTCTCTGTCTGTCAATGTACAAAATTTGATTATTTTTTTTACCGCTTCTTCGGGAGACAAATCTTGTGATTTTGAAGGGCATTTAATTTCGACTAATGCACTCCTATTCTCTAGAACCCTGTCTGGACTAGCAGCCAAGTAAGGAAATTGTTTTGAAATAAACAAGCCACACCGTTCAGTTTTTATATTTTTATTTATTTCAAAACACTTGACAGCTTTTTCCTCACTTTGCTGTCCATAGTATGTATGACTGTTACCTCTAAATGTACTGTACAACAGAGACTCCACAGTTTTAGCTATTGCTGTAGTCGGTCTAAGTTTGTAAATATGTCCAAAATTTGAAGCCGTAACCCTAATTTCTCTTTCTTTTGCCCAAATGTGCCTGTTGCCTAGTGTCTATTTCAATTTGGTCTAAATTCAAAGATAATTTTCTCAAAAAAACCTCTTTGGCTGTCACAAATGTTTCTACATCCATGACAGGATTTTCTAAAAAATATTTAAACCATATTCGCAGTCGGGACCAGCATACGTAAATTATTTTACGACATATTTTTTTACGAATACTTTGTCTAAGACGAGCTTGTTTTATAGACGAACAATATTTTTTTGTTATTAAACCAGGACCGTTTTAATCACAATATATTTACTTATCCGCTCTAAAAAATTGATGACGTCACCTCAAAATTTTGCTGAATAAATCCCATCTAAATTGTATAAAATATGATGAGTCTCTTCTTGTGATTTATCATTCCATTAATGTTTTTTTGGATTTGCATATACAGGATGACCCCAAAAATTAATGAATGCGTAAATTTATTTTATTGATTTAATCAGGAACTACAGAACCCAATGCTTTGAAATCTTGCAAATGTTTTAAGGTTATAAAGAGCATAATAAATTTTTAGTCAAAATATATTTCCTTATCCCCTCCAAAAAATTGATGACGTCAGCTCAAAAGTTTGCCGTATAATCCTATTTAAAATTTACAAAATATGATGAGTCTCTTCTTGTAATTTATAATTCCATTAATATTTTTTGGATTCGGATATACAGGGTGACTCAAAAAATTTAATGAATGCGCAAATTTGTTTTATTGATTTAATCAGGAACTACAAAACCGAATGCTTTGAAATCTAATGTGAAAAAAAACATAAGAGGCATCCAGTCGTCACGTTTCCGATAGCGAGGGAAGTACTGTCTAAACTCTTTAGATCAATTATTTTGATTTTCCCATTTTTCCATTTCTCAATTTTTCAATGTTTCAGTCTAGGATTTTTTCACTGTTTCGATTCTTTAATTTGCCTTCCATTTTTAGGTTTTTCAATATTTCAGCTTTGGAATTTTGCAATATTTCGTTTCTTCAATTTTTCAAATTTTTGATATTGTGTTTTCTCGGTTTATAAATTTTTCGATATTTTAATTTTTTAGTTTTTAAAGTTTTAGGTTTTTAGATTTCTCACTATCCCGACTTTTCGATTTTTCAGTTCCATGATTTTTCAATTTGTCGAATTTTTAAATTTTTGATTTTTTGTTCTCGATCATTCAATTTTCTAAGTTTTCAGGCTTAGATTTTTTTTGTTGTTCAATTCTTGGATTTTTAAAATTTTTGTTTTTTAAATTTTCCTATTTATCAACTTACTGGGATTTCAATGTTTTGATTTTTTGACTAGTAGCACGACTGAAAACACCTCGAGACTTGATTGAATTTTGCTTCTTGGGCTTCAGCATTTATAGGGATTGTAGCCCATTTTTTTGTTTCCCGCGATTTTAGAGTGTAATGAAAAGGTCTAATATACCTACTTACGATTCCCCGGGGGTGCGTCGACCCTATTATTCGGTTTTTTCAGCTGTATCACTCGGTTACTATGTGCAGTCAAACAATGCAAACATATTTTAATTGAATCAGTTTTGATTTAATCCGGGTCAACTTTTTGCATTAACCTTGGCGTATGCACTTTTTAACTTTGTCAAACCATCGTCTGCTTCCTTCACAGTTGAACTTCGACGGTGAAAACATATTCTTCCTTAGGTACACTTATTTGTAAGTACACCGAAAAACAACTGATAAATTTTCTGAAAAGATCAAAACAATGGTTGAAGTACCCACAATTACCGAATTCTACCGCAACAAAACCATCTTCATAACCGGTGGAAGTGGTTTCATCGGAAAAGTCCTCGTCGAGAAGCTCCTTCGATCGTGTCCAGACCTGAAGACCATCTACTTACTCTTGAGAGAAAAAAAGGGTCGAGCTCCGGAAGACAGGATCAAAACCATCACCGATTTACCAGTAAGTCGTCTCTTCATTAGTTTTCCTTTTCTAACACATGTGTAGCTCTTTGACGTACTCAAATCGAAAAACCCCGATTTTCGGAACAAAATTAAGATCGTCGTTGGCGATGTGCGGGAGCTGGATTTGGGGTTAAATCTTCAGGAACGTCAAACCTTGATTGATGAAGTGAATGTCGTTTTCCATGGAGCGGCGTCTGTGCGTTTCGACGACAGCTTAACTGATGCAGTCATCATGAACACGAGAGGGACTAGGGAGGTTGCTAAATTGGTACTAGAGATGAAGAATTTGGATGTTTTTGTTCATATTTCGACGACTTATTGCAACAGCGATCGAAAGGTGGTCGAAGAAAGATTCTATCCTGCTGTTGCCGAATGGGAGAAAACTATAGAAATAGCGGAAAACATAGATAGACATACTTTGAACGTATTGACCGAAAAGTATATACATCCGCAACCAAATACTTATACTTTTGCGAAGTCCTTGGGCGAGCACGTAGTCTACGATATGTGTAACGGAAAAATACCTCTTGTTGTGTATCGACCTTCTGTTGGTGAGTATAATAAGTTGTATAATTATTCACAAATGGTAATCAGTTCAAAAAAATTTCCTTCTAATTTTGAGCACTTGAAGTTATCAAACGAAATTAGCTCTAACATACTCTCGACAAACAAAAATCTCAGATTGATTTTTACCCATGTACCAATAGTTGTCAGCACAGACCTCGAACCCATCTCAGGTTGGATCGACAATTTCAACGGACCCGTAGGACTCATGGTAGGCTGTGGGAAAGGCGTAATGCGCACCACTTACTGTGATCCTAACAACATTATAGACTATGTGACAGCTGACATTACAGTGAAGGCAATCATCATATCATCATGGAAGCAAGCTACATACAAGTATATTTTGACTGTTTTCCTTCATGGAACTTAAATCAGTTTCCAGAGACGCAAGCCAGAGGATCAACGCATCATTCTACAACGGCAGTAACAACGGTTTGAAAAACGTAACTGTAAAAACCATTCTCGATATGGGCAAGGAAATATGGAACGAATGCCCCTTCGAGAACATTTTGTGGTACCCTCATTGCAGAATCACCACCTGCTACTACAATTATTTTTTTCAAATGATCCTTTATCAACTCATTCCGGCTTTGTTCATTGACGGCATACTTATACTAATGGGCAAACGACCGATGTAAGTGTAAAAATAAAATTTTAGAAATATATGTTTGTGTTTTTCCTGTTGATTGCAGGCTGACTAAAATTCAAAGGAAAATTCACGCTGCAACTGTAGCTCTGGCTTACTTCTCACACAACAACTGGACGTTTGTTAACGACAAAGTATATAATTTGCAGCACGAGCTGTTACCTGCGGATGTAGACAGTTTTTCCTACAAGGAAAAGGACATACATATTTACACATATTTGTTTAACTCTGTTGTAGGTGGTAAAAAGTACCTTTTAAAAGAAAGTGATGATGTCACCAAGGCGAAGAAACATTATCTGAGAATGTGGGTGTTGGCAAAAATTGTCAACTTCTTGTGGTATTTGGGGCTGTTTTGGCTCGTATTTATTAAAACTGGGATCGTTTCCCTTGTGTTTGATGTGTACAATGACGTAATTTTGTATTTTACAAGTGATTAAATTGTATAGTCACGTTTTGTGTATTTTACTTACTCCAATTTTTTTAAATCCACCGATTAGGTTAGGATTTTAATCGTTAACTGGTTCTAATACAATTTAGCAGACATTAGATTTGTTTGGACAAACACTGAGTCAGGACTCGTTTGATTTTGCTTATCTAATTAAGAGTAAGGTTTCTGGATGCTAATACTTAAGTGTTACATTATAACACTTGTTAATTCTTCACACAACTGACAGGGGATTTAAAGATTTCTTTCTTTAGACAGTTGACTTTGTTGTTATCATCATATAATTATTACATTACCGAGGTACTTTCGCGCAACGTTAAAGATTACATCACCGAGACATTTCCTTGCAACGTTAAAGGTTACATCATCGAGGCATTTCCTCGCAACGATGACTGGATATTTTTGTGTTTATTTATTATGTGCTTTGTTTGGGGTAAGCAATTCACGATATTATAAACTCTCAGAGCTAATTGTTTTAAGTAACCAATCACTTGGAACAATACGTAATTTAACTTAATGTAAACTCTTTGTTTGAATCGTTGATAAAGTGTGGCAAATACTAATCTCATGTAAATTTGGTAGCTTTGCAATTTTTCACCTCATACAATATTTCTCTATCTCATAATTTTAACCTCAGTAATTTTCTTTGTTGTATAATTTTAATTGAGCGTAAATTTCTTTCGTTCCTTTGGGAAGAAGAACAGAAAGCTGCGAGGTGCAGTGCTAGAGATACTTCAAACCTTATCTGACGAAAATATGAGCAAATATAGTGCCTTAACTACTGCTCTAGAACTGCGATTTGGAGATAAACATCTAAAGAGAGTTTTTGCTTCCCAACTACAGACAAGAACACAGAAAGTTGGAGAATCTCTACAAGAATTTGCAGCAGATGTCAAGAAAATGGTACGTCTAGCATACCCCGAAGCACCACCGACTATTCAGGAGAGGCTTGCGACAGAAACCTTCATAGATGGCGTTCGCGACGTTGAATTTAAGAAGGTCTTACAACCATCAACGTATCAGGCATCATCTTAAGCCTTGATTCGTGCGCTGGAAGTGGAGGCGGTGTACGGCTCCTCAAGAACGTGCTACAAAGTCAGCGTAGCAGAACGAGAGAAAGAAGAAAACAACAAGATGGAGAAGCTGCTGGAAAAAAAGCTGCCGCAAATAGATGACCTTATTCGAAGACTGAAGAATGATGTATCTCGTAAGCAAAGCATGAAATGGTATAGGAATGGGCGCCAGGGACGTCTCAAACGTGATTGTCGTGCTCGATTACCAGTTCCAAGAAGAAGCACACCACGGAGTTCTCACCGAGATGTAAAAGGAGCCAGTACTCTGGGGAATGGGTTCACTGGTGAGAATTAGGCCGCCAGCGAAGTAAAAATAAGAAGTGTCACCAGAGGTAGTGGTTCAACGGTACCGGGGAAGATTTATGAAAATCCAGCAGCAATCACCATCGATACTGGCGCTGAGGTATCAGTTGTACGTAAAAAACTCGTGAGAGCTGAAGATGTAGAACCTATACCCGAAACGATAAGATTGAAAACTGTAACTGGAGAGTCGACGCCGATCTTGGGCGAAGCAGAGGTAGAAATCTGTGTTGGTGAGCTGAAAATAAGACATCGGGCTCTCGTGGCTAGCATGGAAGACGACTTCATTTTGGGAATGGATTTGATTAGCCGCCATGGATTGACAATTGATCCGGTGAGGAAAGTTCTACGTTTTGGAAATGAAGAGTTCAAGCTGAACCAGCATTGTATTGAAGCGAAGCCTGCAAGATTGGTCGCTTATCAGTTCTGCAAACATTGCGACGAGGTTGAGCAGCCGAAAGCACTGTTTAACCGCAGGAAGAAAGCGGTCGTAGAAGATGATGAATGGACTACCGCTTGGTGTAGAAAGGACCAGGAGGAAGACAAGGATATTGGGCCGCTCCTCAGATGGAAAGAAGATGGGATGGAACAACCTGGCTGGTCGGAAATATCAGGCGAGTCACCTTCTTTCGAGGTGTTATGGGCGCAATGGGACTCCTTGCGAGTCGAGCCTGGGAAAGTCCGGATGGAAGACATGTCAGTATGCAGGTGGTGGTCCCAGCCACTAGAATCGAGGAAGTACTTCGAGAGATGCATAATGGGACTTCTGGTGCTCATTTTGGAATCAACAAGACGCTTTCAAAAATTAGGGAGAGATTCTACTGGGTCCGTTGCCGGCAAGACGTCGAGAGCTGGTGCAAGACTAAGGCGAGAGGTTCGATGCAACCACAGAACGTCGGCTCGCCTTTTGGAAGAACTGCAAGAGAAGTAGCGGGTCCTCTCCCAGTGCCCGAAGAAAGGAACAAGGACATGAAGAAGGTCAAAGGTTACGACGATGGCCTACAGGAGAAGCTCTATAAGGATAGAGTGGCGACTGGTAGAATGAAGACACGTTACGATCTTCGGAACAACTCAGTAGGGTTCCAGGCGGGAGATTTGGTATAGCTTTATAACCCCCGAAGACGGAATGGTCGTTGCCCGAAGTTGTCATCAGACTGTGAAGGTCTCTATACTGTCGTGACGAGGATCAACGATGTCGTCCACAGAATCCGACGAGGGCCGAAGAGGAAAATGAAGATTTTTTACTTAGGGGCCTCATGAAATACAACAGCAGCGCCGTTGACGTTTCTGATCGGGACGATCAGAACTAAGGAGGAGGCAGTGTTACGAAATAAACCCATAACCGCCCCGGTGCGAAGCCTATGAGTTTTACTAGTATGTATGTCGATGAACGGAGACTCATCGACGGCCGAGCGGCGGGCGCCTAAAGACAAGTCTGGAGCCGGTTACCGGCAGTCTCGAAGCGGCGTCCAGGGAAGTCTCGAAGCGGAGTCGCGATGGATGTTCGTGAAAGATCTCGAACGGAGAAGTATAAATTTCAAGAGAAGCGACCGTCGGGAATAGATTATTCAGCCAGTGGAGACAGTCAAGAGCGTCCAGTGAAATTCGCCGGACTAATTTCTGTACATATTCGTTGCAATAGTTAGTAGTGTAATTCGAGTTAAAGAAATAAATCGTTGAGTTTTACCTACGCCCGATTAATTATTGGCCCGTCAAACGTAACAATATTATCATATTCTGTGTAGTTTAAATTTGAACATAGATTCGTGTACTTAGATGATTAAAACAATGTAATTGTTTCAAGTCCCGGGGTAATGTTAGTATTCTCTACAATTCAACATATAGTTTTCCATCGATCTTCCATGCATTCCGCACTGATTTCTCTAACTAACATTTTAACTGATGCTCGACTTCCTCTTTTATTTTGTCATCCATTAAGACCATATTTCTCGGAAAATATTCATTGCATACCACAGAAAAATGTCACATTTTTAAACTTAAATTACATACAAAATAGTGTCAATGTGTCAGAACAAAACTAAATTTGCATGCAAAACATAGGGATAAAGTTAATTTAAATTGCAACTGTTTTGAATTAAATGCTTTGATTTAATATAGGTTAAGTTTTCATTAACCTTATTGCACTTTTTAAAGAAGACAAACCGCACTTGCAATTATTTCCCTTCGCCGGTGAAAAGAAATTCTTCCGGTTATTACCTGTTTGTGACTACATAGAACAAGAACACACAAATTTTCTAAAAAGTACAAAATGATGGTTGAAATACCCACAATTCCTGAATTCTACCGCAATAAAACCGTCTTCATAACCGGTGGCAGTGGTTTCATCGGAAAAGTCCTCATCGAGAAGCTCCTTCGATCGTGTCCAAACCTGAAGACCATCTACTTACTCTTGAGAGAAAAAAAGGGTCAAACTCCTTACGAAAGAGTCAAAACCATCATCGATTTGCCAGTAAGTCGCTCTCTTCATCAGTTTTCCATTTTTAATCCGTGTTTAGCTCTTCGACGTACTCAAATCAAAAAACCTTGATTCTCTGGACAAAATTAAGACCGTCGTTGGCGATGTGCGGGAGCTGGATTTAGGGTTGAATCTTCAGGAACGACAACTGTTGATCGATGAAGTGAATGTCGTTTTTCATGTAGCGGCGTCTGTGCGTTTCGACGATAGCTTAACTGATGCTGTCATCATGAACACGAGAGGGACTAGGGAGGTTGCTAAATTGGTACTAGAGATGAAGAATTTGGATGTTTTTGTTCACATTTCGACGACTTATTGCAACAGCGATCGAAAGGTGGTCGAAGAAAAATTGTATCCTGTTGTTGCCGAATGGGAGAAGACTATAGAAATAGCGGAAAACATAGATAGACATACTTTGAACGTATTGACCGAAAAGTATATACATCCGCAACCAAATACTTATACTTTTGCGAAGTCTTTGGGCGAGCACGTAGTCTATGATATGTGTAATGGAAAAATACCTCTTGTTGTTTATCGACCTTCTGTTAGTGAGTATAAATGTCATATGATCATTTGCAAAATATAGATATTTATAGTATTAGTATTATTGGCAAAGTTTTGAGATAAGGTCATCAATTTTTTGGGGGGAATAAACAGATTTATTTTGATTAGCAAGTGTTGACTGATCATATTTTTCGCATTTTAAATAGGATTTATCCGGCAAAAATCTCAGATTGATCTTAACTATCTGCCAACAGTTATCAGCACAGACATTGAGCCCTTTTTTGGTTGGGTCGACAATTTCAACGGTCCCGTAGCTCTCATTGTAGGTTACGGAAAAGGCATACTGCGCACACTTTACTCTGATCCCAACAACATGATGGATTATGTGCCAGCTGACATTACAGTGAAGGCGATTATCATATCATCGTGGAAACAAGCCACATACAAGTATATTTTGTCTGGTTTTCTCCACAGAACTTATAAATCAGTTCCAGAGACGCGAACCAGAGACTCACTGCATCATTCTATAACGGCAGTAATAACGGTGTGAAAAACATAAATGTCCAAACCCTACTGGATATGGGACAAAAAGTATGGAACGAATCACCCTTCGATTCCGTTTTATGGTATCCCAAAATCAAAATCACCAACTGTTACTACAGTTATATTTTTCGAATGATCATGTATCAACTTGTTCCGGCTTTGCTCGTCGACGGCTTGCTGAAACTAATGGGCAAACAACCGATGTAAGTATCGTATGAACGTTGCTTGCACCACCATAAAATTTTAGAACGGTATCCTCCAAATATATATGTATTTATGTGTTTTTTTTTTAATCGCAGGATAACTAAAATCCAGAGGAAGATTCACGCTGCGTCTATAGCTCTAGCTTACTTCACACACAACAACTGGACGTTTGTTAACCACAAATTTTTGAATTTACAGGACGAGTTGTTGCCTGCAGATGCCCACGATTTTAGGTTCCAGGAGTTCGTCACACCGATGTATCCATTTTTGCTTAATTGTTCTGTAGGTTTAAAAAAATATCTTTTAAAAGAAAGTAACGATGCCGACAAAGCGAAGAAAAATATGCTGAAAATGTGGGTGTTGGCACAATTTGTCAATTTTTTGTGGTATTTGGGGTTGTTTTGGCTTGTATTTATTAGAATTGGGATTGTTTCCGTCGTATTTGATATGTATAACGATATAATTTTGTATTTTACAAGTGATTAAATTGTCTAGTCACGTTTTGTGTTTTTTACTTACTCCGTCAATTACAAACCAATTTTGCTGACTATTTTGCATACAATGACGTCATTCCATTGGTGATGGGGATAAGTAGCCAAACTTTAGTTAGTATTTAACCATCTACATGATATTCCTAATATACATACAAAATATGAAAACCATCGGTCCAGTAGTTTCGGAGATTACTTATCTAATAAGGATGGATACAAATAGAGAGACAGACAGACATATGGAAACGGGAAACCATTGTTTTCGTACTCTAGAGGTCATGACACGTGGAAAAAACATGAAAGTGGCGGCAATTCGGCCAATGGATTCGATTACTATACTTCCTTAACTTACGCTAGGGAAGTAAAAATCTCGGGGACTCCTTGTGTCTTATTTTTGAAGTAGTTTTAAAGAATCTCGGGACCCCTTTTGGTTTATTTTTGAAATAGTTTTAAAGAATCTCGTGGAACACTTCTGTCTGGTTTTTGATGTAGTTTGAAAAAATCTCGTGGAGCCCTTGTGTTTGGTTTTTGTCGTGGTTTTAGAGAACCTCGGGGATCTGTTTTGTTTTGTTTTTGAACTAGGTTTAAAGAATCTCGAGGGTCCCTTTCGTATTGTTTTTGAAGTAGTTTAAAAGAATCTCGGGGACCCGTTGTGTCTGGTTTTTGAAGTAGTTTAGAAGAATCTCGGGGGTCCCTTTTATTTTGTTTTTTAAGTATTTTTAAAGAATGTCGGAGTCCCTTTTGTTTTGTTTTTGAAGTAGTTTTTAAGAATGTTGTGGACAGATTTTATTTTATTTTTGAAGTTGTTTTAAAGAATCTTGGGGAGCCCTTGTGCCTGGTTTTTGAAGTAGTTTGAAAGAATCTCGGGGGTCTCTTTTGTATTGTTTTTGAAGTAGTTTAAAAGAATCTCGGGAACCCGTTGTGTGGTTTTTGAAGTAGTTTAAAAGAATGTCAGGAAGCCCTTGTGACTGGTTTTTGAAGTAGTTTGAAAGAATCTCTGGAGTCCCTTTTGTTTGGTTTTTGAAGTAGTTTTAAAGAATGTTGGGAGTCCCTTTTGTTGTTTTTGAAGTAGTTTCAAAGAATCTCGAGGACCCGTTGTGTCTGGTTTTTGACGTAGTTTAATTGAATCTGGGGGGTCCCTTTTGCTTTGTTTTTAAAGTACATGAGATTAAAAGACTCTCGGAGACCCCTTGTGTCTGGTTTTTGAAGTAGTTTAAAAGAATCTCGGGGATTCCTTTTGTTAGTTTTTTAAGTACAGTAACGGTCATTTCTACGGAACCACTCGATAAAAAGTCAAGTTGGTAGCCCTGTCATCTAGTACTTTACGCCGAACGCGGTTGGTAGCGGTAGTTGACATGGCAATCGAAACTAGCACAACACGAATGTTTCGGTTGCCCTCAGCTGTGCCTCATTGTATCCCGTGCAGACTGTATGTTCTGTTCATATATTTATTAAAATAAAATATCCACATTGACAATGGAGCTATCTAACCCGTCAAATTTTTGACACATATGTTTTCCCCCAGAAACCCGTCAAGGTCACTTACACCAAACAAATTTTGAAAATTTACACTAGGAAGTGATTCTATAGAAAAGATCGCGACTTTAGATTTAAAGAATCTCGGAGATTCCTTATGTTTTGTTTTTTAAGTAGTTAAAGAATGTCGGGGGGGCCTTGGGTCTGGTTTTTGAAGTAGTTTGAAAGAATCTCGAGGGTTTGTTTTGTTTTGCTTTTGAAGTAGTTTTAAATAATTTCGGGGGTCCCTTTTTTTGTTTTTGAAATAATTTTTAAGAATCTAGGGGACCCCTTTTATTTTGTTTCCGAAGTAGTTTAAAAAAATGTCGGGTACCCCTTGTGTCTGCTTTTTGAAGTAGTTTGACAGAATGTCGAGAACCCGTTGCATCTTGTTTTTGAAGTAATTTTAAAGAATCTCGAGGGTCCCTTTTGTATTGTTTTCGAGGTAGTTTTTAAGAATTTCGGGGACCGCTTTTATTTTGTTTTTGAAGTAGTTTAAAAGCATCTCGGCGGTCCCTTTTGTTTTGTTTTTGAAGTAGTTTGAAAGAATCTGGGGGCCCTTTTGTTTTGTTTTTGAAGTAGTTTAAAAGGATCTCGAGGACCCGTTGTGTCTGGTTTTTGAAGTAGTTTAGAAAAATCTAGGAGGTCCCTTTTGTTTTGTTTTTGAAGTAGTTTTTAAGAATAACGGGGACCGCTTTTATTTTCTTTTTGAAGTAGTTTAAAAGAATCTCGGAGACCCGTTGTGTCTAGTTTTTGACGTAATGTAGAAGAATCTCGGGGGTCCCTTTTGTTTTGTTTTTGAAGTAGTTTTAAAGGATCTCGGGAATCTCTTGTGTTTTATTTTTGAAGTAGTTTTAAAAAATGTTCGGGAGCCCTTGTGTATGGTTTTTGAAATAGTTTAAAAGAATCTCGAGGACCCGTTGTGTCTGGTTTTTGAAGTAGTTTAGAAAAATCTCGGGGATCCCTTTTGTCTTGTTTTTGAAGTAGTTTTAAAGAATCTCGGAGACAACTTGTATCTTGTTTTTGAAGTAGTTTTGAAAAATCTCGAGGATCTTTTTTGTATTGTTTTTGAAGTAGTTTAAAAGAATCTCAGGGGTCCCTTTTATTTTGTTTTTGAAGTAATTTTAAATAATGTCGGGGTCCCTTTTGTTTTGTTTTTGAAGTAGTTTTTAAGAATTTCGGGGACCGCTTTTATTTTGTTTTTGAAGTAGTTTTAAAGAATCTCGGTGAGCCCTTGTACTTGGTTTTTGAAGTAGGTTGAAAGAATCTCGAGGACCTTTTGCATCGTGTTTTTGAAGTAGTTTTAAAGAATCTCGGGGGTCTCTTTTGCTTTGTTTTTGAACTAGTTTGAAAGAATCTCGGAGCCCCTTTTGTTTTGTTTTTGAAGTAGTTTAAAAGAATCTCGGGGCCCCTTTTGTTTTATTTTTTGAAGTAGTTTTAAAGAATGTCGGAGGTACCCTTTTGTTTTGTTTTGCAGTAGTTTTAAAGAATCTCGGGGATCACTTATGTTTTATTTTTGAAGTAGTTTTAAGGAATGTCGGGGCGCCCTTTTGTATGGTTTTTGAAGTAATTTCAAAAAATCTCGGAGCCCTTTTTGGTTTGTTTTTGAAATAGTTTAAAAGACTCTCGGGGACTCGTTGTGTCTGGTTTTTGAAGTAGTTTAGGAGAATCGCGGGGGTCTCTTTTGTTTTGTTTCTAAAGTAGTTATAAAGAATGTTGGGGGTCCCTTTTGGTTTGTTTTTGAAGTAGTGTTAAAGAATCTTGGGGAGCTCTTGTGCCTGGTTTCTGAAGTAGTTTGAAAGAATCTCGAGGACACCTTCTATCTAGTTTTTGAAGTAGTTTTAAAGAATCTCGTGGGTCCCTTTTGGTTTGTTTTTGAAGTAGTTTAAAAGACTCTCGAGGACCCGTTATGTCTGATTTTTGAAATAGTTTAGGAGAATGGCGGGGATCACTTTTGTTTTGTTTTTAAAGTAGTTATAATGAATCTCCGGGGTCCCTTTTGTTTTGTTTTTACAGTAGTTTTAAAAAATGTCGACGGTCCATTTTGTTTTGATTTTGAAGTAGTTTTAAAGAATCTCGTGGGTCCCTTTTGTTTTGTTTTTGAAGTAGTTTGAAAAAATCTCGGGGCCACTTTTGGTTTGTTTTTGAAGTAGTTTAAAAGAATCTCGGGGACCTATTGTGTCTGGTTTTTGAAGTGGTTTAGGAGAATTTCGTGAGTCCCTTTTGTTTTGTTTTTGAAGTAATTTTAAAGAATGTCGAGGAGCCCTTGTGTATGGTTTTTGAAGTAGTTTGAAAAAATCTCGGGGCCACTTTTGGTTTGTTTTTTAAGTAGTTTAAAATAATCTCGGGGACCTATTGTGTCTGATTTTTGAAGTAGTTTAATTGAATCTGGCAGGTCCCTTTTTTTTTGAAGTAGTTTAAAAGAATCTCGGGGGTTCCTTTTGTTTGTTTTTGAAGTAGTTTTAAACAATCTCGGGGATCCCTTATGTTTTATTTTTTAAGTAGTTAAAGAATGTCAGGGAGCCCTTGGGTCTGTACTTGGAAGTAGTTTGAAAGAATCTCGAGGGTTTGTTTAGTTTTGTTTTTGAAGTAGTTTTAAAGAATGTCGGGGGTCACTTTTGTTTGTTTTTGAAATAGTTTTTAAGAAGCTCGGGACACCTTTTATTTTGTTTCTCAAGTAGTTTAAAAAAATGTCGGGTACTCCTTGTGTCTGGTTTTTGAAGTAGTTTGACAGAATCTCGAAGACCCCTTGTATCTTGTTTATGAAGTAATTTTAAAGAATCTCGGGGCTCCCTTTTGTATTGTTTTAGAAGTAGTTTGAAAGAATCTCGTGGACCCCTTGTGCCTGGTTTTTGAAGTAATTTGAAATGATCTCGGCGTCCTGTTGACAACTATTTTTAAGTTGTGGCTAATCTTAGGGAGATATGGAAAACAGGTCGACTTGACACAATGATCAATAAATTTGAATGATTTTGAAGTTGCAGTTGCAACAACACCAAAGGCAAAATTTTGACCAACCAGAATTTTTAATTCGACTCATAGAACTATCAAATGTAAAAACTCTGAAATTTTTACCCTGTTACATCTTCTAATCTTCTTAGAAAAACATATCCCAAAAACAAAAACTTCTATTACGAAATCTGTTTGCACTGTCAATCATTTCGTTTCGTGTTCCGATATTCCGCACTTGAACAAATTCCTTTAAATCTCCACGCGTCAAAACAACAAGACAAACAAAGAGTTACTTCATCACAAAAGTGACAAAATAAGCAGAAAACCGGATTAAAGGCATTAACACCTGATTGATCGTTACTTAGTGTTTGAGTGATGACCCAAAAACGCACAAAATTCAAATTTTTTTGATAAGATTGAAAGTATAAAAGACCAGTGTTGAAAAACCAAAAGCAGACAAGCGAAGCCCAGTCAAGATGAACACTATACTCTTTCTCCTGTCTTTGGCCCTATTTGCCAATGGTGCAGACGTCAACGACTTAGTCGACGGCAACGTCAAACTGTCTTCAGCTTTATATACTGTAAGTACTTCCAGTCCCCAATCAAGCGTTACTATAGTCGTTCTAGAACCTCGCTACGCAATATGGACTATCGTCACCATTCCACGTGGGCCCGGCCACTGTAGAATCAGTCCTTGCGGCCACACAATCCGGCGCCAAAGGAGCAACCGCTGAAGAAATCAGAACCGGCATCTTCCTCCCGAACACCACCGCAGACACAGAAGCCGCAATCAAAGACCTCTTATCGACAATCAACGCCAGTATAACCAACGCCATGTTCGTGGAGCCGTCATACACCATAACCGACGAATACAAAACCACCGTCACTGACACCTACCAAACGTCCCTCGAAAACCAAACCTACATCGATCCTGCTGCAGCCATGACAAATTTGAATCAATGGGCTGCCAACCACAGCGACAACCAATTCGTCACCGGTTTCATAAACTCCGACTTCGCCAAAACCACGAAAACCGTCCTCATCAACAACTTCCTCATGGACAAAGCCTGGGCGAACCCGTTCTCCACAGACCAAACCATCTCAGGAACCTTCTACTACTACAACGAAGACAAAAGCTCGTACACGCAAACCGTGTCCATGATGACGCAAGGTCCGATTCTGTACAACTACCTCGAAAGCGAAGAACTAGATGCCAAATTTTTGGAACTGCCTTTTGATGACGGAAGTACCACTTTCACTATAGTGGTTCCAAACGCGAAAGACGGCCTGATTGAGCTCGAACAACAAATCGACAAGGTTTTGGCCACCACGGATTTCGGTCAAGAGTACGTGCAAGTGTCGCTTCCTAAGGAAAGCTACAAGGTTGAGCACACTCCTCTGGTCACTCCTCTCCAGGCGGTAAGTTAGTGGTAGCTTTGGAAAGTAAGGTTAGGTTGGGTTTTAGCTTGGAGTGCAAAGCATCTGGAGCAATAGCGCCGATTTGAGTGGACTGGCGGGCGTTCCCGGGGAGCTACGAGTCGACAGAGTTCTACAAAGTTCTTACATAAATGTTAACGAGGCTGGGGCGGAAGCAATTGTTGGTTTGTAAATCGCAACTGGTAGGGATTTAGTGGAAAAGCGGGCTAGGATTATTGTTCTAGCCCAGTTTTCCCAGGTGTGGTTTGTGGTAGTAATGGGTTTTTTTTCAGACGCTTCGGTTGAATTGAGGGTTACTGAGCAGCACACCGTGGTTGCTGACCATCCTTTTCTATTCTATATTAAATACAAAGGGATAATTGTGTTTGTAGGAAGGCGCGTTAAATATTAGAATGTAAATTGTTGTAAATATATGACTTTACAAAGATCTTTTTTCTAGTATAACATTTTGTCCCTTCAGACACCTAGCCGACACGTCTACCTTTATTTCAATCTCAGAAATTTCTTTATAACTGGTTGCAACGACTTTGTAGTGTCTTAAAATTGTCGCCAAAACGGTTTTCAACGACATCATGGCATACTTAGGTCCTAGACATTTTCGAGCACCACCACTAAAGGGTACAAACGCGAACGGATGCCTTTTGACGGTTTCACTCGGTAGAAACCTGTCTGGGTCAAATTTGAGAGGGTCAGGCCACACTTTACTGTCTCGATGGATGCAAAGAATGGGGATATAAACTGAACTACCTTTTGGAAGGACGACGTCATCTAAAATACACGTTTAGTTTGTACAAACGATCAAATCCAACACCCACCTATAGCAAGATCTTCGTAAAGATGTCGTCCGACTATCGGAGCAACCGGGAAAAGCCTCAAGGTTTCTTTAATGACACGTTCGAGGAGTGGTAGATGTTGTAAATCTTCCACAGTGACGTCCCTTTCGCTGTCACCAAAAACAAAATCTAGTTCTGCGAATACTTGAGTCTGTGTCTTCTGGTGCATTGCTAGGAGGATGAGAACGTACCCTAGTGTGAGCGCAGTTGCATCAGCACCTGCTATTAAAATTGCTTGGGTTTCTTCAGTGGTCATTTGTTCGTCCCATGTTGGTTCACTTTGTTCCAATTTTAACATGTGGTTCAAAAAATTTGGCTCGTCGAGGTACGACTTTTCACGTCTTTTAGGACTGACGATCTAGAATTAATTGCTCATAATAATAGGACGTTATTTTGGGACAAATTTGCGTACTTTATCCACCAAGCGGTGAACGTCTTCTAATATAGCACTCGTTTCTCTTGCAAAAGACGACAAGTTCCACAGAAAATCGGGGTAAAGGAAGATGTTGGCTATGCGCAAACAACCAAGTTCTCCCAATCTAGAAAAATACTTTTACTGAAGACAAAATTTTTCAAGCGTGAATACCTCGCTGTCCATAGAATCAAATCGGGCCCATTGTTCGTCATACATTCCAAATCAGCACCCATGGTTGTACCTAAACCGAACAATTTAGCCAGAACATTGACATTTTTACTGTTTACCACAAAGAATATCCGTCATGCACAGCGCAAAGATTGGAAACGTATCAATGAAACCCTTGTCGAGACTTTCTTCGAGTTTTTTGACCAAGATTTTTGAGTAAGTAGCAAAAGTGTCGACGTATGAGTTTAAAATTTGCTGGTTTAGGGTTCCTCCTAAGAACTTTCGGTGCATCCTCCACTCGGAAACTGGCAACTATTAAATGAGGTGAATTCACAAGTCAGTTTATACTAACCTGGTAAAGTAAGAAGTCCTTTTCCGAAAACCGGATTCAAGAACTTCATAGTCAACATTTTTTCGGAACAGCTATTGAGAATTAGTTTGACGTGTTCAGGCTTTGTAGCCACGAAGTATAGTTCAGAGCCCATCCAGAGTTTGTAAAAACGCCCATATTTGATTTTTAGACGCATAAAAGTGTTCAAAATGTCTTAAAAGATGGTTAAAATGGGAAAAGATTATGAAAATACTTACTTTGAGTGTGGCCGAAAAGGACATACGAACTTCCAACTATGGGGAAAGGGGTAGGTCCCTTTACTTTAAAAGCCCAGTAGTAAAGATGTCTTTTTTTCCATGCCTTCAACACCAAGAAAAAGCAAAGACAACAAGTCGCTGAGATGTAGATGTTTTCAACGTAGCTAGCCATCGGGACTTGATGAAAATTGACGGAATGCTTCTTTAATAACGGAATGATTATTTAAAAAAGTTTCAGCTTCAATTAAAGTTTATACGCCGATAATGTCACAAGTGGCTATTTCACCATAAAAAAGTTACATTAAAACTGATCGTATATTACAATATTCAAAACATTCGCTTGTTACCGTGCCGACTGCATTAATTTTTTTTATGTTATTGCAGTTTTATTAGTACCGAAATTTATAACAACAACAAACAACAATAATAATGTTTGTAATTTTAAAAACAGTAGACTATTCAAATATATTTAACGACTAAATTTTTTTGACCATTGCATTTTTGTTCGAAAAAATAAAACGCGATCCTAAACTACAATAGCCAACCTTAAACAACCCGGGAGAAAAAACCTCAGGGTCAAAAAAGGGAGTACAGTCTTCAACTTCCATACCTCCGGTAGCACAAAAACAAAAGAGGATGATGAGGCAGGAGACCACCTCTAAAGAACATAGCTACAGGGAGGTAGGAGACAGACATCTTGAACAGTGCCTGGCATCGGGAAGACAAGCAACCACTTTTAGGGGCATCAAGTACAGAGGGAAAATCCTAAGGATAACCTGTAAAGACGAGACGTCTCAGGAACTTAACGTGGTCCCCTTGGCTGAACTACCAAGGCTGGTCAGGGGGGCCCTGTGGATACAGAGGTAATATTTCGCCGCCTAGAGGGTCAGAACCAATGGGCTCGCTTTAAAAATGCCTTCTTTTCCATGACGAGGCCAAACCCGAGGCTGCCTCCTCAGGCAACCTCTTTGTGTTTAGTCTTGGGATGGATGAGGTCAAAACAATCAGGGAGAGAGAGGGCAGGATCAACTATATGCTGTCTTTTCTCAACCTGAAACTTAAGGGGAAGGTGGCGTCGACTCAGGAAGGGCAGATTCCTATGGAAGAGGCAGAAACCCCAGGGGATGAAGCCTCTACCAGTGTAGGCGGGCCCGCCTGAGACATAATCCTCGTGTCCCCGAAGACAGGTATAAGATTTTTGGTTACAGAGATGAGCTGTAGCAGATAAATTTTGTGTACTGGTAATAACATCCGTGTACTTACCACAGGGAGCACATGAACCATGTCCAACATGGGAGATGGCGAACTTGGTGAACCACTGTGACACCGGAAATATAACGCTCATCGTTGGTACCAATGCAAATGCCCACTGGGGCGTCCAGGGAAGTCTCGAAGCGGAGTCGCGATGGATGTTTGTGAAAGATCTCGATCAGACAAGTATGGGTTTAAATAGAGGCGACCGTCGGGCAGGAATGCATTCAGCCAGTGAAGACAGTCAAGAGCGCCGGAATAATTTCTGTACATATTCGTTGCAGTAGATGGTAGTGTAATTCGCGCTAAAGAAATAAATCTTTGAGTTTTACCTACGCCCGATTTATTATTCGCCCGTCAAACGTAACACTGGTGTCAGAAGTGGGATCAATTATGACATAAATCAGGATTCGAATTTGGTTGGTGCTACTAGGGGAGACCGGAACAAAGTGAACTTTCGAGAAAATTCTCTCCCGCGGTAAGAGTGGAATAACCGAATTAGACTTTCATCACCTTTCATCACCTGACACCGAAGCGAAATCCTCCAAGTCGTGCGAAATGAAGTGGACGAGGTGAGAACTGAAATGGAAAACAAGATCAAGGAGCTCGAAGAAAGGTTGCAAACACCACGACCTACAATTACGACCCCTGCAGAATTCAGTCAGGTTAGAGTTCAACCCCCTATTTTTGATGGGCAGACGTCGTGGACTACTTATCAGAAGCAATTTAAAGCTGCGGCCTTGTCGAATAGCTGGAATGACCAACAGAAAGCGACCGCTTTGGTAGTAGCACTACGAGGTGCGGCCCTAGAGATTCTACAGACATTATCAGAAGAGAACCAGAAGGACTATACCGCCTTGGCGACCGCCCTCGAACTCAGATTTGGAGATGAACACCTCCGGCAAGTTTTCGGAGCGCAGCTTAATTCTAGGATTGAGAAAAGTAGTGAATCTATTCAGGAGTTTGCGGCAGATGTTAAACGTTTGATACACCTCGCCTATCCTGAAGCTCCGCAAGACTTCCAAGACAGACTGGCAGCAGAAACCGTCGTGAACGGGGTAAGAGATAGTGAGTTAAGAAGAGTCCTGCAGATCTCCGGGTTCAAGAAACCATCCGAGGCGCTGATTCGAGCGTTAGAAAAGGACGCCGCATACAACAGCTCACCTCCTTCCAACGTTAAGATACGAGGTATCGGGGTTGAGGACGAAGTAAACCCTATTCAAGAGAGTCTCGATAAAATGAATGAGAACTTTGAGAAATTCACTCGCGAAATCAAGACGGGCAGTTCTAGACAACATGGAGGGCGCCTAGAATGTTACAGGTGTGGGCGTCAAGGGCATATTAGGAGGGATTGCCGTGTTAGATCGCCAGCGCCGATGAGGAGATCGCAGTCGCGACCTCCTCTACATCAGGAGCAGGAAAACTAAAGGCAGTCGGTAACTGGGGGCGCGTACTGGCTGCCAAAAGAGAAGCCCCAACGACTATAATGGTTAGAAGTATCGCGGGGAGCGTCGATAGTCCGACAATCAGCGAAAAAATCAATGGACGGGAATCGAAGATCATCATCGACACAGGAACCGAAATGTCCCTTGCACGCAGATCCAGGTTACAAAATTGCCAGATTAAGTCAGTATGTACCACCACGAATGTGAAGACGGTCACGGGAGAAACAACACCGGTTCTGGGTGCAGCGGTGGTGAGTGTAGAACTCGGTCGACTCCGAATAAGGCATGAAGTTCTGGTGGCGGAAATCGCAGACGATTTCATTCTGGGTATGGACCTAATCAGCCGGTATGGTTTAATGATCGATCCAGAACAGAAAATTCTGCCTTTCGGAGCCGAAGAATTTGTGCTGGGACGTCCGAATGTGGAAGCTGCAACGGTCAGACTAGTGGTCTGTCAGACAACGAAAGTAGATGGTAATGCAGAAGTCATCGTCCCCGCCAGAGCAGAGACGAACCCCGGATACAGTTTGGGGATGGTGCAGCCGCCACGTGACTCGACCCACAAGCTCCTGATCGCGAGCACCCTAGTCAAAACCGATCGTGACATACCCTTACGTGTGGCAAACGTGTTTCCCAATGCAGTCAATATTAGAAAAGGGGAGATTATTGGAATGTGTGAACCAGTCGCCCGGGTGTTGAACTGCGAGGAAGAAGACATTGAGAATGAGTCTAAGGAAGCGGATACCAAAGGCTTGGAGGCAAGTGGGAGCAGCTGTCTGCTCGTGAGAGAAAACTGGCCAAAGGACTCATTCGTAGGCACCGTAATGTCTTTGCTTCAGAGGAGAAACCATTCGGGAAGACCAACATCGTAGAACACCGAATAAACAATGATGACACGCAACCGATCCGTCAGGCTCCTCGAAGACTACCCCTAGTCAAACAAGAAGAAGCTACAAGACTCGTGGACAACATGTTGAGAGATGGGATAATTGAAGAATCCAACAGCGCGTGGTCATCTCCAGTAGTCTTGGTTACCAAGAAGGACGGGCCTATCCGATTTTGCGTCGATTACAGAAAACTGAACGACGTCACGAAGAAAGACAGTTACCCCCTTCCTCGAATAGACGATACCTTGACGACCTTATCCGGCTCGGCGTGGTTTTCGACCTTGGACTGGCAAGTAGGCTTGCACCCGGACGACAAAGAAAAGACTGCGTTCTCCACCGGAAGTGGCCTCTATCACTTCACCGTTATGCCCTTCGGATTATGTAATGCGCCAGCAACATTCGAGCGGCTGATGGAGATGGTGCTGAAAGGATTGACATGGAAGACTGTCTGGTATACCTGGACGACGTTATGATTATGGGCAAAACGTTTGACGACCATCTGAAGAATCTCGAGGAGGTGCTAGAACGAATGGAAAACGCTCGTTTTCAACTAAATCCCAAGAAATGGTCGCTCTTCCAGAAAAGAGTCGAATTCCTGGGCCATATCGTGTCGGAGAAAGGAATAGAAACCAACCCGACGAAAGTTCTTGCTATCCGGAATTGGCCCATACCAAGAGACAAGCATGAACTACGAAGTTTCTTGGGACTCTGCACATATTACCGACGATTTGTAGAAGGGTATGCCGACATCGCAGCACCGTTACACCAACTGACGGAGCAGAAGGCGACTTTCAAGTGGAGCAGTACATGTGGGATGGCCTTTAAGAGACTGGAGACGGCTTTGTGCACGAGCCTCATTTTGGCTTACCGCAGGGACAAAGGATACCTCGATACTGATGCGAGCAACTCGGGAGTTGGGGCCGTATTGTCGCAGATACAAGATGGGGAGGAAAGGGTTATCGAATATTTTAGCAAATTACATTCCAAACCAGAGAGAAATTACTGTACCACAAGGAAGGAACTGCTAGCCATTGTCAAAGCCGTCAACCACTTCCACAAGTATCTATACGGACAGGAGTTTCTGATTAGAACCGACCACGCTGCCCTCTCCTGGCTACTGCGGATAAAGAATCCCGAGGGCCAAGTAGCGCGTTGGCTGGAAAGACTACAGCAGTACCACTTTAGGATCAAACACCGAGCGGGTCGACTTCACAACAACGCTGACGCTTTGTGAAGACCTCCGTGCGGAGAGTGCAAGCACTGCGACAGGATCGACGCGGAAGAAGGGAACCTGTCTGTTCGTCGGACGATTTTTGAGCAAGATGAAGAATGGACAACGGCGCGGTTAAAGCGTGAACAAGAAGCAGACGACATAATCGGGCCAATACTAAAATGGAAGGAGGAAGGAGTCGAACGACCCGGCTGGGCAGAATTGTCCGACCAATCCCCCAGTTTGAAGGCGTTATGGACCCAATGGGATTCCTTGGTCATGGAAAATGGGCTCGTGAAGCGAAAGTGGGAGAGTCTTGATGGGCGTACCTCTAAGACGATGCTGGTACTCCCCAAGGTAAAGGTTTCCAAGGTCTTAGAGGAAGTTCATGCCGGAACATCTGGAGCCCACTTCGGAGTGAACAAGCCCTTGTCGAAAGTTGGTGTCGCAAGTGTACGACGTGTGCGGCCAGCCAGGGTCCTCATACTAGGGCGAGGGGAAAAATGAAGAAATATAATGTTGGGGCACCTTTCGAAAGAATTGCCATCGATGTGGCCGGTCCGTTCCCTGTAACAAACGACGGCAACAAGTTTATCCTTGTGGCCAGCGACTACTTCAGCAAGTGGCCAGATGCCTATGCCATTCCAAATCAGGAAGCCGTCACGGTCGCGAAAGTACTGGTTGACAATTGGATCAGTAGATTTGGCGTCCCCTTGGAACTTCACTCAGACCAGGGACGCAATTTCGAATCCAACGTCTTCCAAAAAGTGATGCAGCTACAGGGAATACGCAAGACAAGGACAACGCCGCTACACCCACAGTCCGACGGCATGGTGGAAAGGTTCAATCGGACTATGGAGCAACACCTTTCGAAAGTGGTAGAAGAGCACCAAAAAGATTGGGACCAGCACCTTCCACTATTCCTGCTGGCCTACCGCGCAGCTATCCACAACACCACGGGTCAAACACCTGCTCACGTTGTATTTGGGAAGGAATTGCGGCTGCCCTGTGAACTAGTCTTTGGATTGCCATCCGAAGAACCAATGGAAGTACGTGACTACGTGGACGAACTGAAAGAGAAGTTGGTCAAGTTGGAGGCAAGACTGGGCAGTTCCTCCTGCGGAGCGGAATGAGCAGACTTTGCCCTATCTTGTTACCAATGCTTCCGGGGTATCTGGCTTTCAGGTACATGCCGAGTGTATGGCGAAAAGTAAAGCTTATCTTTATACGTAAGCCAGGACGACAAATCCTATAGACCAATTCGCTTAACATCATTCTTGTTGAAATCGCTAGAAAGACTAAGCGAAAAAGTGATTCGGGAGACTGCTTTAAGCAAGGAACCTCTATATCCCAACCAACATGCCTATAGAGTGGGCGATGGAGAACAAACTCTCCACATTAGGACGTTCTTGGATATTGAAGGAAGGTTCGATAAAACGACCTTCAAAAACATAGGACTAGCCCTACAAAAGCACAATCTGAACCCTTCTCTGAGTAGGTGGGTGACCGGTATGCTGACGAATATGGAAGTACTGATTAATATAGGTGGCATTGATATCAAGGCTGTTGTAGATAAGGGATGTCCCCAGGGAAGAGTACTCTCTCCTGTACTATGGGATACTGTCGTTGACAGGCGTCGTCTGAATGATCTTGGCTACCACACAATTGGATATCCAGACGATCTTGTCATTTTGCTAACAGGAAAAAATGCAGATACATTATGTGCAATAATGCAAGCTGCAGTAACAATAGAGGAGACATACCCATACCTGAATCCTGTTCACTAAGAAAAGAAAAATTGGCACACTACAGATGCCAAAAATATTTAACACACAACGCTTCAACTTTCGGACGAAGTCAAATAGCTGGGAGTTGTATTGGACTGGCGACTGAATTGGGAGAAGCTCTTTGGCAAGTCGTAGGGTGGTGGAAAAGTCTTGGGGCTTAAACCCCAAGATCGCCCTCCGGATCTACACGGCATTAGTCAGACTGGAGCTGTGCTACTGTGCTTTAGTTTGGTGGCCTAGAGCCAGACAAAAACAACAGATGTGCAACTTGAACACGTTCAGAGAATGGCGTGTCTCAGTGTTACAGGAGCAACGAGAAAGTATCTTGACGGAGGTGTTCAACAGAATACCCTTGTTAAGGATGGGTTGTGACCCAATGGGCACAAAATTAATATATGAGAAGACACATAGAATATTAGAAATGTCGCCAACTGAAAAATAGATTGAGTCCCAGCCACTCGCATTAGACGATTTGGAAACTCATCCTATAAACGCCCATTAGCTACCCCTCGAAATTCTTCGCCAGGCCCTAATGGTATCCCTCCGTCTTCCTCAAATATCTTTCTCCACTTGGAAAGCCGATTCTGTTGAAAATCTTCACTCTAGTCTGGCAAACTCGTCAGTTTCCGCATATCTGGTGCCAAGCGGTTATACTACCGTTCGTAACACGGCAAAAGCCCAAAAGTGATGTAAACTCCTGTCGGCTTATATCATGTACCTAGAGTACGAAAAAATTTCCGTCTGTCTCCCAACCGTCAGTAATAGACAGATAAACTTCGAAACTAAGAGCTTTTTTATTTAGCTTTTTAAAATTCTAATTTGCACAACGTTTTAACACAAAACCCATGTATATTTTCATACACCCTGTAAATACAAAGTGAAAATGAGGTCTATAACTCCTATAAAATACTTTCAACAAACATAAAACACAACAGTTCTGGTCTTGTATCTTCAAGATCACGCCAGCTCACACTTGACACTCAGTGTTCATACTATGTCAAACATAAATGTTCGCGACTGACGTAATGTCATATCAAAATCAGCGTCGCCAACCGCACGACGTATATCGTGTTCTAGTGGATGCCAAAAAGTTTTCATCAGTGGCTCGCTACTTGTAACAACTAACGCGTCTTGTAATAAGAAAGATGACCAGACTGGTGCCAAACATTGTCTATTGAAATATAACCATTGTTTGATAATTTTAGGAATATTTTCACTACAGTGATTATCAATTTTTTGACATGAATATTCTTTACAGGTTATCCATTGTCTTTTTGACACCTGTGCAATTATATCACGAGCAAAAATAAAGCGTTTTTTGCTTTCATTATCATGTAAACTATTGAAGCCCAAATAGCGTAGCATTTCATAATAGGTCCATTTTTTAAAAAACATTTATTTAATAAATTTTACAGATGACCATTAACATTCTACATAGACAAAATGCATAAATTGCATATATCAACTTGTTTCGACTTTGGTCGTCGACAATATGCTCAAACTAATGGGCAAACGATCGATTTAAGTATCGTAAAAAATGTATAAGAATAAGGTAACATTTTCGTTATGACTTCTTTAAAGATACTTATTTATTAGAGATTTACCAAATTTGATAAACGTACTATATATTTGATATATTGTATTTTTTGTGATAACTGTTACAAAAATTCTCACATTAACTACATCAACACAGAATACAAATTATGTTCGAGATCCCCTCAGCAAGACATAAAAACATCACCTTGAATGTTATATATTCCACAGCCAACAAATTCAAAAATATCGTTATTTAGCGATTTAATAATTTCGGTTGCAACTGCTTTGATTACATTGTTTCCATTTAATGCAGGTCAAAACTTTGCATTAACCTTCGTCTTACTTACGTCTACACTTTTTACTTTTTGCAAACAGTCTTGCACTTATTTCACAATCTTCCTTAGTACCTACACTTAGTTGTGAATACACAGAACAAGAAAAGTTAAAAACGATGGTTGAAATACCCACAATTCCAGAATTCTACCGCAATAAAACGATCTTCATAACCGGTGGAAGTGGTTTCATCGGAAAAGTCCTCGTCGAGAAGCTCCTTCGATCGTGTCCAGACCTGAAGACCATCTACTTACTCTTGAGAGAAAAAAAGGGTCAAACTCCTGAAGACAGAATCAAAACCATCACCGATTTACCAGTAAGTCGCTCTCTTCATCAGTTTTCAATTTTTAATCCGTGTTTAGCTCTTCGACGTACTCAAATCGAAAAACCCCGACTCTCTAAACAAAATTAAGATCGTCGTTGGCGATGTGCGGGAGCTGGATTTGGGGTTAGATCTTCACGAACGACAAGCGTTGATCGATGAAGTGAATGTCGTTTTTCATGGAGCGGCGTCTGTGCGTTTCGACGATAGCTTAACTGATGCTGTCATCATGAACACTAGGGGGACTAGGGAGGTTGCTAAGTTGGTACTAGAGATGAAGAATTTGGACGTTTTTGTTCATATTTCGACGACTTATTGCAACAGCGATCGAAAGGTGGTCGAAGAAAGATTGTATCCTGCTGTTGCCGAATGGGAGAAGACTATAGAAATTGCAGAAAACATAGATAGACATACTTTGAACGTATTGGCCGAAAAGTATATACATCCGAAACCAAATACTTATATTTTTGCGAAGTCTTTGGGTGAGCACGTAGTCTACGATATGTGTAATGGAAAAATACCTCTTGTTGTTTATCGACCTTCAATTAGTGAGTATAAATAAGTCACTTAAACAGTACTTGTCTTTGAAACAGCCAAAAACATAAAATTAACCTTGGCAAATAAACATCTCAGACTAATTATTCTTAACTATCTGTTAACAGTAGTCAGCACAGACATCGAACCCATGTCGGGTTGGATCGATAATTTCAACGGTCCCGCAGGTCTCATTGTAGGCAACGGGAAAGGCTTAGTGCGCGTACTTTACTCTGATCCTAACAACATACTGGATCATGTGCCAGTTGACATTACAGCGAAAGCGATTATTATATCATCGTGGAAACAAGCCATAAACAAGTATATTTTGTCCGTCTTCTTACGTAGAACTTATAAATCAGTTCTAGAGACCCAAACCAGAGACTCACCGCTTCATTCTATAACGGTAGTAGTAATAACGGTATGAAGAGCATAAGTGCAACAACTCTAAACGAATGGAGTAAGAAAATATGGAACGAAACACCCTTCGATACCGTTTTATGGTACCCCAACACCAGAATCACCAAGTATTACTACAGTTATTTTTTTCTAATGATGATTTATCAACTTGTTCCGGCTTTGCTCGTCGACGGTTTGCTTAAATTAATGGGTAAACGACCGATGTAAGTATCATAATCAATATAAAATTTTAAAAGGATTTGTTTTTCTGATTATTATTACAGGCTGACTAAAGTTCAGAGGAAGATTCACGCTGCGTCTATAGCTCTGGCTTACTTCACACACAACAACTGGACGTTTGTTAACGACAAATTTTATAATTTGAAATACGAATTGTTGCCTGCAGATATCGACAGTTTTTCATACAAAGACGACATCACACCGATTTATACATATATGTGTAACTATGTTGCAGGTGCTAAAAAATATCTATTAAAAGAAAGTGGCGATGTCGACAAAGCGAAAAAAAATATGCTGAAAATGAGGGTGTTGGCACAAATTGTCAATTTCTTGTGGTATTTGGGGCTATTTTGGTTCATATTTAGTAAAAGTGGAATCGTTTCCCTCGTATTTGATATGTATAATGATGTAATTTTGTATTTTACAAGCGATTAAATTGTACATGTTCGCAATTGTCATTTCTAAACTAGTGTTGCTAACCACACGATGTATGTGGTGCTGAGGCAAAATTCAAAACGTTTTCATCAGTGGCTCGGTACTAAAAACTGACTGGCTTTGTTACAAAAAAAATCACGGGAGTAGGAACACTCATTGTCTATTACAGTAACACCATTGTGTGATAATTTTGAGAATAGCTTTTACTATCGTGATAATCTTTTTTTTTGCATGAATATTCTTTATAAATTAGTAGTATTCGTTATCCTTTTGACACCAGTGCGTCAATATTACTGGCAAAAATAAAGCAGGCGGTGACAACAGTAATACATATATGTAACAATTCTTGGGTTCATAATCATAGTTAAAAAGGGCGCACCTTCAGAGGCGTCCGTCATGGTTTCTCTGTCATAGTGAACTTTTCTACCTGCGATAGGTACCTGTACCTTTTTATATTAGTACCTAATAGATTCATCTGCATTCGTGCTAGCGTGTTGACCAGTTCACTTTAAAACCACGCCGTTCTGAAGTGTGCATGTTACGCTACTGACTCACAGTCCGTTGTCAGATTCTGATGACTCACCATGTTGAGCTTAAAATAATAATCGATCTCTAACAACCCTTGTCCTACACTAGGTAATAGCAATCTGACGCTCAAGTGTTTGTTTATGTTTATTCATCGAAAGAATGTCACGTAAAAATTAATTTGATTTGAATGACTTTTTGCTGATTATTATCATCCGTTCATTCATGTGTTCATTGATCGTTAAATGTCAGTGCGAACAATACTAGTTGTAGAAACAAATGGTGGTCCTGAGAAGCACCGATTTTTGTTAATGCTTCATTTATTCTGACGACCAAGCGTGTGAATTTTTAGACCAAGCGTGTGAATTTTGAAATCAAGCGTGGGAATTTTGAGATCGAACCTGGGTACTGTAAGAAATCGATCGCAAAAAGTAGCAATGATACGGGTGAGAATTCTCAGAAATCGAGCATGGGAATTCTGAGATCGAACGTGAGAACTTTCAGAGATTCAACGTGAGAGTATACAGAAATCGAGCTTGGAAATTCTGAGATCTGGAGCGGGAATTCTAAGATCGAGGGTACGAACTGTCGAAGGAATTGGGAGAATGAGAATTCTGACATCTAGCGTTGGAATTTTGAGACCTAACGTGGGAATTGTCAGAAATCGAGTTCTGCCATCACGTGTAAGAATATTCTGCGATCAGAGAATTTTGAGAACAAGCGTGGGAATGTGTTCGAAACCGAGCGTGGGAAATTTCAGGGACTGAACGTGGAAATTATAAGATCCGGCGTTGGAATTCTGAGATATAGAACAGGAATTCCTAGATCTAGCTAAGAAATTCTAAGATTGAGTGTGGGGGGGATTCTGACATCGAGCACGAGAATTTTGAAATCTACCGCGGGCTTTGACAGATCGAGAGTGGAAATTTTCAGAGATTGGGAACACGAGAATTTTCAGAAATAGAGCTTGCGAATTCTGAGATCAAGAGCGGGGACTGTCAAGATATTGAACGTGGGAATTATCACAGATCGAGCGTGGAAATCTTCTGAGATCAAGTTTGGGAACTGACAAGATATTGAGCATGGGAAATTTCGACATCGAGCGTAGGAACTTTTTGAGATAAAGCCCGAGAATTCTGAAATCAAGCGTGGAAACTGTCAAAGTATTGAGCATGGGAAATGTCAGAGGTTGACCGTGGAAAATATCAGCCATCAAGCGTGGGTATTTTCAATGAATGAGCGTGGGAATTCTGAGATCGAGCATGGGAATATTCTAAAATCGAGAGTGGCAATCTTCTGAGATAGAGTCTAAAAATTTTGAGATCAAGCGTGGGAATTGTCAAGATATCGAGTACGAGAATTGTCAGAGATCGACCGTGGAAAGTATCAGCCATCGGGCCGTGGGTATTTTCAATGCTTAAGTGCGGGAAGTCTAAGCTCGAGCGTGGGAATTCTGAGATCGAGGGTGGAAATATTCTGAAATCGAGATTGAGAATATTCTGATATCGAACGTGAAATATTCTGAGATCTAAGGTGAGAATTTTGATAATGAACGTGGGAAAATTGAGATCAGGTCTGAGAATTCTGAAATCAAGCGTTGGGAACTGCCAAGATATTGAGCGTGGGAAATTTTGAGATCAAGCGTGGACACTGTCAAAGTATTGAGCGTGGGAAATGTCAGAGATCGACCGCAGAAAATAGCCATCGAGCGTGGGTATTTTCAATGAAAGGACGGAGAATTCTAAGATCGAGTGAATTTTCTGAAATCGAGCTTGGGAATCTTCTGAGATAAAGTTTAACAATTCTGACATCAAGCGTGTTAATTGTCAAGATATCGAGCACGAGAATTGTCAGAGATCGACCGCTGAAAGTATCAATTATAAGCTCGAGCGTGGGAATTCTGAGAACGAGGTTGCGAATATCCTGAGATCAAGCCTGAGAATTCTGAAATCAAGCTTTGGGAACTATCAAGATGTTAAGCGTGGGAACTGACAATATATTGAGCTTGAGAATTCTAAGCTCGAGTAGAGGAAATTCTGACATCGAGCGTAGGAATTTTTGAGATCAAGCCTGAGAATTCTGAAATCAAGCGTGCGAACTGTCAAAAGTATTGAGCGTGGGAAATGTCAGAGATTGTCCCTGGAAAATATCAGCCATCAAGCGTGGGTATTTTCAATTAATGGACGTGAGAATTCTAAGATCGAGCATGGGAATATTCTGAAATCGAGCGTGGAAATCTTCTGAGATAAAGTCTAAAAATTCTGAGATCAAGCGTGGGAATTGTTAAGATATCGAGGGCGAGAATTGTCAGAGATCGACAGCGGAAAGTATCAGGCATCGGTATTTTCAATTATTGAGCGCGAGAATTCTAAGCTCGAGAGTGGGAATTCTGAGATCGACGGTGGAAATATTCTGAGATCTAGGGTGAGAATTTTGAGAATGAACGTGGGAATATTCTAAGATCAAGTCTGAGAATTCTGAAATCAAGCATTGAGAACTGTCAAGATATTGAGCGTGGGAATTATCAGAGATCGAGCGTGGAAAATATCAACCATCGGCCGCGGGTATTTTCAATGATTGAGCACTGGAATTCTAAGCTCGCGCGTGGGAATTCTGACATCGGACGTGGAAATATTCTGTGATCTAAAGTGAGAATTTTGAGAATGAACGTGGGAAGTTTCTAAGATCAAGTCTGAGAATTCTGAAATCAAGCGTGGGAATATTATCAAATCGAGAGTGGTAATATTTTGACATCGAACATGGAAATATTCTAAGAACGGGGGTGAGAATTTTGAGATCGAGCGTGGCAATATTCTGAGATCATGTCTGGGAATTCTGAGATCAAACGTTGGGAACTGTCAAGATATTGAGCGTGGGAATGATCAGAGATCGAGAGTGGGAATCTTCTGAGATCAATCGTGGCAACTGACAAGATATTGAGCGTCGGAATTCTAAGCTCGAGCCTAGGAAATTTTGAGATAGAACGTAGGAATTTTTTGAGATTAAGCCTGAGAACTGTCAAAGTATTGAGCGTGGAAAATATTAGGCATCGAGCGTGGAAATTCTGAGATCGAACATGGGAATATTGTAAAATCGAGCGTGTAAATCTTCTGATAAAATCTCAAAATTCTGAGATAAAGCGTGGGAATTGTCAAGATATCGAGCACGAGAATTGTCAGAGATCGACCGTGGAAAGTATCAACCATCGGGCGTGGGTATTTTCAATGGTTGAGCGTGGGAATTCTAAGCTCAAGCGTGGAAAATTTTGACATCCAGCGTAAGAATTTTTGAGATCAAGTCTGAGAATTCTGAGATCAAGCGTGGGAACTGTCAAAGTATCGATCGTGGGTATTTTCAATGAATGAGCGTAGGAATTCTGAGATCGAACATGGGAATATTCTGAAATCGAGCGTGGAAATCTTCTGCGATAAAGTCTAAACATTGTGAGATCAAGTGTGGAAAATCTGAGAATTTTGAGATTGAACGTGAGAATCTTCTGAAATTAAACCTGATTCCCCATTTCCACAGGTACACAGGTACATCAAACAATATAATCCTTAATCCTCTCCTTCTCACATCTTCCGTGGACCAGTTCGGGTTTGTCTTAACCACCTGCTTTATCATCTCTATCTCCTCCTTACTCCTCGTCTCAGTTATTAACCCACCACTTCTGTTCCTCCTTACATTTTCCACTTTCACGTCTACATCCATTTTATTAAATTTCTCTCTAATCTTTTCCCCATCTTCCTCCGAATCCTTAGAATTCACCATAACAGAACACGATTCCTTCCTTCTTGGTACTTCCTTACTATCCTGCCCAGATCTAGCACCTCCGACAACTCCAGCGTACGTCTTCCTAACCGTCGATTCCAGTTCTTTAATCCTTCCCTTCATAAAACTATTCTCAACCGCTAGCTCCAATAGTATGTTCTCCATCTTGCCTCAAAATCTCAACACCTGGTCAATCACCCCCTTGCCAACTCTACTCGACTCCAAAAATAGGGACGCTAAATACAAAGAGAGAAAAAAAAATTGGTGTTTCGAATAGAAGCTGCTTTGTTATCCACTCTGAATCGAAAGATCTTCGAAATCACAAAGCGACAAATTTAATCTAAATTGAAACCGTTTTGATTCAAATGCTTTCATTTAATGTGGGTCGAGTTTTTGCATTAACCTTTTTGCACTTTTAAATATGACAAACCCCCCTTGCAGTTACTTCACCATTGAACTTCGACGGTGAAAAAAATTCTTCTTGTAATACACTTGTTTGTGACTACACAGAACAACTCTGATACATTTTTTGAATAATTCAAAGCAATGGTTGAACTACCTACAATTCCAGAATTTTTCCGCAACAAAACCATCTTCATAACCGGTGGAAGTGGTTTCATCGGAAAAGTCCTCGAGGAGAAGCTCCTTCGATCGTGTCCAGACCTGAAAACCATCTACTTACTCTTGCGAGAAAAAAAGGATCTGGCTCCCGAGGATAGAA